TGGCTGAGAACTGAACCCACAAAATTTCAGCTACCTAGCTCGTTAGCGCTTTATGTCCGTTGAGTTTCTCATACAAAGCTAAATGTGTGGGACTGAAATTCAAAGCCAAAAATACCTCTCTGAACATAAAAAATGATTACACTTTCTACACCCGAGAAATCCCACACCAGCTTCAAAGCTTGTTCGGCAGCATAGATGAATAATAAACAGCGACGCGCATTAGGGTAGCCAGTGCAATTATGCGTTTTGCACAATTCTGTTCAGCGGATTCTTGTCTGCTAAGGACTTACGTGTGTGGAAAAATAGTCAATATACTGTCCGGCTGATAGCCAACGAATTTCCTACCAAAAGTTTGAAGTGCCAGTACATGGAAACAGAACTTGAAACTCTGGATAAGGAACATCCTTCCAAATTTCAACCTCTCATTTTCCGGCTCCCGAGCTAGTGACTTTCATATTAAAACTTTCTCGTGGTCGTACGTAAGACCTTCGCATACTTGAGACCTAAATTTGAGTTTCTGAAGTGTCTTCATAGGCACAAAACATTCTCCTGAAATTTTAGTCCCACAGCTGTTCTGGATGCCAAGATAATAATGTTTCCCACCAAAACTTTCGCGGGCCGCATAAGAAACGCAGGTGTACATGAAAGCTGTATTTGATTATGCGAGATCACACTCTCCCAAAATCTCAGTTTCCTACCTTTTATGGCTTCTGAGATAATAATTTTTCCTATCGAAACTTTCAGTGAGGCACAGTTAAGACCCAGGCTTAACTGAGAATTGATTTCGAATTTACGGGATCGCAAAAGGGCAGGAAACATTCTTGTTAAATTTCAGCTCCCTTGTTTTCCTCGTTCCCAGGACAATTTCTCCGCTAAAATTTCAGCTTCTTAGCTCCTGCTGTTTCCAAGATAATAATTCTCCTTGTCAAAACCTCCACGAGGTCGTACATGTTACCCGCGGGCACGGAAAGGCTAAATTTAAGTTTTATGAGCAGCACGTGGGCAGGGGACAATACCCTAAACTTTCAGCCGCCTAGCTTTTGTGGTTCTCGAGTTCAAAATGCGGGACAAAACGCACTCAGACACACACATATATACTTCGTGACAATATGCATTTTCTGTTGCTGTCACACACCGCAAAACGCATAAAAACCATGGCAAGCAGCATGGCAAATACATTCTCGACGGTATTTAGATAAATGCCAAAAACACATAAAGTCAAACTTAAAAAAAAAAAAAAAAAACAGAACACATAGAGAAGGCTCACAGTGAGAAGATTCCCAGACATAATTTTACTTTCGTCAACCAATACAGTGAATGTTTCATCATGCCGTACAATCAATGTGTACAGATGCGTCCTGTGATCGTCAAAATATGTTGAAACCGATTTCGAGGGCTGCTTAGCATGATGTTCCTGAAACAGAAAAGCCATTGGCAATTAAACAATGCTTACTTTCCAAGGTGCACTCTTGAACAGAGCAAGTTTAAGCCAGTTAAAAAACAAGGATAACCTTATTAAATAATAATACTGTTAAAACATAATAAATAAATATAAACTAACAGATGTGGTGCCATTTTTCGGATTCCGGAAGCGAACGATGAAGTGCACTTTGGACGTAGCGCCACATTTGTCGGGGCCAAACATGATTGTGTACGGAGTTTTGTCGGTAAATTCATCCAATTTTTTCTCAGCCCCCTCTGTTAACAATTTCACATAACCTCCGCCACACTCCTGCCCATCTTCGTATTTCACCTCGTACCTTAATCACATAAATTTTAATAAAATTTAGGCCTCAATCGAAATACATTCGAAGCACAGTACGTCAAACATCTTGCCCAAACTCAAAAAAATTCAAAACAATTCAAAGCTAATCTTAAGGCTAGCCAGCCAAGTGAGGTATGAGTGAACAAAAATGCAGAAGTTTCAAATACTGGGAATGCCAAAATCTCATTTCTGTTTTTCGGTGTATAAACTACGTGGACGAAAGGCGAAAGAAGAGAGCACAAAGAAAAATTATACTTTTTGGGATGGAAGAGTGAAGAAAACTTACTGTACAACCAGCGGCTTGCTATCGAATTTAAATGGTCGGGTGAATTTTGTGGCAATTGCATGATGGCGCGCTCTTGTCTTCACAATCAGTGCCAAGTCTCCATCGATAATAACTCTCTCTGGTGCACCAATCTCCCATTCACCTACAAACATTTTGTTCACCTCATAAATGTTAACAAAAAGCAAGAAAATACCGACTGTCCTCTACCGCTCTTGAATCACTTTTCAACCGTATACTAGCAAGGTCGATGAAGTTGAAAAAAAAAGTTTTGTTGCATAGGGACGACAAAGAAAATCTACAAAATTTATGTCCAATCAAATAGTCCGCATAATAAAAACGTATGCTTATTCAAAACAACTTGCTTGCACTTTCTTGTTTACGGGAGCATAATTTCAGCAAATCAGGAAATGATTTTGTTTTTTTACCTCTTACACTAATCTGACTTAAATCCAACATTTGAGGAACTGTTTTGGATAATCGTCACCAGAAATTAATACCCGTACTCACGAAAATTTTTCCCCATGTGCCTTGCGAACTGCGCCCAAAGGTTAAGCACCACCAATCCATAGGCCTGGTGCATGCCAGTGCATTTAAGTAACAATGTAAACAGCGGAACAGTACAACGACTGACCGGGTAGTCCTGGTAGAATTTATTACAGAACCGTTGATAAAACATACAAATTTTTCTAAAAAAGTGAGCTGAAGTTAGAGATGATCAAAAGCCCCGAATTTCCAAGGGACAGTAGAAACAACAGAAAAAATAAATATAAGTGCGCATCAGGTAATCATGCGTTTCCATAATTCCGCCCAACAGAACTTTGCATGTCAAGAATTCTCAATGTTTCACACTTTCGTAGTTGCAGAAACAGTCGACATTTGCAGAAAGCTTCCTAAGCTGCGAAATTTTCCACTAAAAACTCCATGCACCAGTTCGAGAAACGTAAGCGTACGCGAAAGCTGCATATGAAATTTGCAGCGTCGCATGTGAGCAGAGGATATTCTAAAATTTCAGTCTCCTAGTTTTCGCGGTTCATAAAATACTGATTTTTCTCGCTAAAATTTTCGCATATCCGCATGTGAAACCTAGCAGTGCACAAAAGCTGAACTTGAATTTGCAAGGTCACACGCTGGCAGAGGACAAACTCCTAGAATTTCCGCCTCCAGGCTCAAGTTATGGCTGAAACTTTAGTTTGGCCGTATGTGGGACTTTGTGTACGTGGAAGCTGAATTTTATTTTACGGGGTTGCATGTGCCCAGAAATTTCAGCCTCCTAGCTTTACTGGCCCTTGAGTTGAAAATACGGGAATAAATGCATTCGAGTACACACGCATACACACAAACACACGCACACACACACACACTCACACACACACGCACACACACATACACACGTACACACAAACACACATACGACAGGGGAAGTGACAATATGAGTTTTATTCAGCTGTCACATAGCACACGACGCAAAAAATGATAAGCTCTATTTGCACACTCACCAATATGCTTTGCAGGACTTCAAGTGGCCCCAGATATTAGCGTCATCAAAACATTCATCAAACCCACGTCTTTTACTGTTCTGATTTGTAATGCCTTTGATTCAATTAATTGCTTGGAAGCA